AATATTCAATTTCTTTTGTAATAATTGTATTCACTTAATATTCTTGGAATATGAGCTAAAGAAGGAATGTTCTCGGAAGATTAAAGAAGTGTTTAAATCCAGTAATATTAGGTTTGTCTTAAAAGCTCAAAATCAAAACGATTCTGCAATTGCCCGAGTAGGTGACTTGTAAATGACTGTGAATTAAGCAGATGACTTTTAATCTTACGTTATTCAGTCAGAAAACGTGTTCCAAATGTTTTGTATTGCATGACAATGCATCTTTTCATTATTCAATAACCAAACAGAGAACCGCTTGTGTTCTGAAAATAAGTATGTGTATTCAATCGTCCTGCATCTTCTTCAAATTTGTGTTCTTGTGATTTTTTTTCTTTCCCAAAAACTAAAGTTGCCTCTCAAAGGAAAGTTTTTTGACATTGAAGAGACAAAAGGAGTATGACAATCTACCTTTAGAGGCATGTCAAAAACAAATCTCTACAAGCCTTTCTCTTCCATTACATGTTGTGCATTCAGAACAAAAGTTGCATCAGCGTAAATTCTATAATCTATTTTTATTACAATCTGATTACTTTATTAACATACAGTGAATATATACTAAATCTTTTACTTAAGCTTCAGTAATTTGGAATTTTTGACGGAATTATTGTCGGAACTAGGACTTTCGAAGATAAGTCAAATTGAATATTTCAATAATCCAATAAATTCAAGGTCTAATTTTAAATATTTTATTTTCGGAGGGAGGGGAAATGTTTTCAGTTTGTCCATTATTCTAAGCGTATACTTGCATCGATTACCCCCCCCTCATAAAAGCGAAAATTTTACACATGGTAGTACTTATAACGCATAAGCTTCAAATTAAAATTTAATAATATACAGGGTGGTTATAATTAAAGTTCCGCTTTGAAACGGTCATAAAAGGAAAAGTATTAGATCAAATGTTATCACACTTGGTAACCGTGTGAAGGAGATTATGGTAATTTATTTTCCACGAAAAAAAGAAAGTTCGAAACCTCACCACCAGGGGGAAATGGCGCTGTATGCAATATTGTTAAATTAAATATGGGTCGGAATCTAACTTAACCTTTTGTTATGCAGGTTTAATATGTTCTATACCCTTAAGAAACTTTGAAGTAAGCCAATTACCATTTAAACCATGAATTAGCAATTAGAAAATGTGAGATCGCAAATCACTCGCACAAGTGCGTACAATCTGGAAATCGTTTTCTTACAGATCGCTAATTTCTAATTTTTGAAGCCTGAATTCGGCCCTGAAACATGAAGATACTGATTCAAAACACTTTTAAGCGATTTGGGCCAAAAAAATCCCTCATATTATCTACCTAGTTCCATGGCATTCTCCTTCTGCATTCGATTGCATAGCTGTCATTCCATACCGTTTGGTGTGGATTGACAGCTAGTTTCATAACTAAACCATTTTTCTTTGAAGAGCAGTTGATAGCTGGACCACTGTGATTGCAGCTTGCAATGTTAAAATGTTTCGTGATACATGAACTGCAGTAACATGGCATTTTAGATACTACGATTTTTATGCAGGGCTGGGCCCCACCTCACATGTGTCGCACAGTTACTTAGGCAACATTTCACAAATGAACGTCTTATAGGCCAACACTTCCCACCAGACCTCAACCTCTGTGACTTTTGGCTATGGGGTTATCTCAAAAGTTTTGTTTATGGTGATAATCTAAACAATTTGACAGAAATGAAAAATGTGATCCACCAACATGTCCGTAACATTCCTCCTGATATGCTAAGAGCTGCTGTTGCTGAGAATGCAGTACCAGGATTTAACTTGCTTTCGGAATATGCTGGACACTACATTGAACATGCTTTGTAACACGTTTTGGAAACAAACACATTTTAAACAGATGTTTTCATGTCTTATTTCATTTAACAATATTGCATACAGCGCCATTTTCCCCCTGATGGTGAGTTTTTGAATTTTTTTTTTTGCCTTACGAAATAAATTCCCATAACCTCCTTTACACGATTCCCAAGTTTGATAACATTTGGTTCGGTAGTTTTCCTTTTATTACCGTTTCAAAGTGGAACTTTAATTATAACCATCATGTAAATTAAACTTTAAAAGTTTGACAATTTGGTTCAAGTCCCAGCTTTAAAATATATATATATATATATGAATTTTTATATTAATCCTCTTAGAAAGAATGTTTTAAGAAGCTATTTTTTCTCTCACATTATAGATTGTATAAAAAAAAAACACGATCTTTAATATGATTTAGATTGAATAATCGGGTCACTCGGTGGTACAGAATAAACACTGCTGGACTGTTTTATTTCTTTGTCATTTAGCAAAAAAATCTTTTAATTAAAATATTTATCCTTTGGACTTTGCTCTATACTTTGTTTATAGTTAAAATGTCTAGAAAATGAAAAGCTGTTTCCAGCTGAAATGCAGTTGATGCAATTGATATTTTTAAAATATTGACAAGAATGCAAAATGTATGGAAGTCTAGCAATCGAAAAATCTTAATTTTTCTTATGTGAGCATTGAAAATAACTGTAGAAGGAAAGAAGAAAATTGGGAGAAAAGTAAGCAAAAATTTGAAGGGAAATTTGGCTGTCAGACATATCAAGATGTTTAAAAAAGTTGAACGTTTTTTAGTATACTTTCAGGCTACTTTAAAGAATTTAGGTATTCAAACAGAAAACACTTGAATGTGTACACCAGCAAATACCATCAATTCAGCTTGTGTTAACAGAAAAGATAAAAATGATATCATTGCAGATTAAAGTGAAGAGCGACTGATTTTAGACTATATGGTTCGGTTTTAGACTGGTAGTTCAGTCCAAGGTTCGAATCCCGCGAACTTACTGTCTGCATGGTCATTTTGGTGGTTTTCCTCATGTGTAATGTGTATACGAACCAATTTCCCTTAGAAAGTCCTCCACGAAGGCATCCCTCCCCTTAGGCTGATAGCCCTAGTGTGCTTTGCCATAATTAAATAAACCAAAACCTCTTGATGAAACCAGTCTTTCCTTTCATCTCATGCCTTCAAAATGCTTAGGCTCTAAAGACTGATAAAGGCTCTGACTTAAATACTGATGAAATGGATTGACTTGGATTATTAAGTTACGGCAAAGCAGGGCTATCTGCCTAAAAGGAAGGATGCCTTTGTGAAGAAATTCCTAAGGAAAACCACCTGGCATACACGTTATACATGAGAAAATCCATGAAAACACCCATGCAACCAGCTCGTGTACCGGGATTCGAACCCCATAGTGAACTACCAGTGTTCAGGGAGTTTACCGCTCGGCAGTTTGTGGGCATTTATGAAATGGAAGGCGGTAACTTTATTTAAATGATTGTCAGAAATACCAAGATGTTTCGAAAAGTTGGATGCTTTTTAATATACTTGCAGAATGCCTGAAGAAAAAGAGCAAGAATAAAGCAGAATGCCTGAAGAAAAACTGTTTAAATCAGTGTATGCAAACATCCTAAGTTAAAATGTCGGTTATACATCTCTCTTATTTATATATCTTTTCTGAACTGAATACTAAAAGGTGTGCTGACTGTGCTTTACTGTATTTTCTCTTTTAATATATGCACTTTTTAAATGCTTCGTAGTCTGGGTCACAAAGTATTCTTCCGAAAGAAACGCAATTCAAATAAATGAAATCAAATTCTGGAAAATTTATATTAATAAATATATTTAAAATGCTCATTTCGAATGAATAAATAGAAAATTTTTAAATAATTATCTGAAGAGACAATGCAACATTAACAATTAAAATAAAAGTCTAAAAAATTAAAAATTTCTTAAAATAGTAACTATGACTAAAAATATAGTATAAAGAAAACTATTTGAAAAAAAAAAAGTAAATGATGCACCTTTGATTTAAACTACGCAGTTCGAATGAGTAAATAGAAATTTTTAAAACAGTTATTTGAAAGAAACTATGCAACATAAACAATTAAAATGAAATTCGAAAAAAGTAAAAAATGCTTAAAATTAATAACAATTATAATTAAAAATATAATATAAAGAACATCATTTGAAAGAAGGAATGATTGAGTCTTTTTTTCCTTTCACACACTATGTAAATATGGAAATGAAAATAGGTTGCCACATATTATGTCCAAGATAAATTGTTGAATTTCTCCATAAATTTCGCACCAAATTTTATAAAATTTAATATTTAGGCATAATTTGAGTCATAGAATCAAAATATGTAAAAAATGTGGTATGTTATTTCAGAAAAAGTCCAATTTGTGTCAAAATACCTATGTTAAAATAGTGCTATATATAAATCTAATATATATCCTAAGTCCTGCTTTTGAGACAAGAAGAACGCAATTTGAATTTCAGGAATCGCCCCAGTAGAACGGGAGATATAGAACTGTCCCCTCCCCCCCTTTTTTTTTAGCAGCAGTGTACATGGGAAAACAATAGCTTGTGAATTGCCAATCTTGTGCACTTTTGTGATTTTTTTAAGTCACAAGCAAATCTACTATGTGAAGAATAGGAAAAAAAAAAGCTGAACATTTTATTATTCTTGCACTTTAAGTTTTGTTAATTGGTTTCCATTTTATGTATTTCATACTGCGCCATTGTTTTTGAAAATGGCTGTTGTTTTTCACATCTTAGCTTGGCAAAAAATTGGTCACCAACAATGGCCGACTTTTGAAAAGGTTGGATCAATTAGAAAGTACCAAAGTTACTTGAGAGACTGTAGTGAGAAATTTTTCTGCAGTTATTTTTTAGAGTTGTTAGAGCTATGTATATTATAGGACTTGCATATAATAATGTTTATTTTTATATAAAACTTTTTCAAGAATATTTGATAAAAAGCAAGATATTAGCATAATCTGAGTACATGCATCATTCTAGAATTGATTGATGCATTTTAATAGTGTGACAAAACAGAATACTGTGCTTAATGGAAATTTAATGTTTTTAGTGAAGTTATAGCAAAATTGTTATTGCTGCTTATTCATTAATGATACTTTTATTTCACAGGATCCAACTATAGTTATTGTGAAAATTGTTGAATCGCATCGTGAGGTAATTCTTCTTGATCGTAATGTTTTAGCATTTACTTAATTTAACAGTTTTGATAGACAATATAGTAGGGCTTCAAAGATTATATGTTTTACATCTTCTTATGCATAATGATATTATTTTCAACAAGATATTCATTTAACACATATGAATGGCAAGTTTATTTGAGAAATTCTGCACCAGAAGCCATAACTAGCATTAAATAAAGTGCACCATTCATAATATTGTATTACATGCTAAAAGGTAAAGTGGTGCAAAATATACTTAACACTATAGTGTACTATTCTCTGTTTTATAATTAGGAAAATAAACAATTCTAATATTTTAGCTTTGTCTATAAAAGGTGAGTGAGAAATGAAGAAATACAATTTTTTTCCAACAAAATGTGCTGTTTCAAATAAGGGGTAGTAGAAATAAAAATCAGTTTTTTTCAACAAAGCAATTGAAAAAGTAATATGATTAATTAACAGCACTTGCGGAATTATCTAGACTATTAGTATAATTAGTTTTAACAGGGAATTGAAGTTATGGTATTCTTTAATAATCGTGATCCTCTGCCAATATGCATGTAGCAAAAATTGAATTAATCTGAAAGATTAAGTTTCCAAAGTGACCATTTTTATTTTCTCTGTTTCATTCTGTTGACAAAAAAGAGCATAAAGATGTTCGTGGTTGTGATTATCATGGAAAGATAGCAATTTTGATCGTGTTTGAAGGTGCTGTATTTTACTATTATATGGCTTGTCATTACTTGGCATGCATTTAGAAATTGAAATTTTTCTTTTTTAAGTCTTTCATTTCTTTTTTGAAGTCTTCTCTAAAGTATTGATGCAGAGTTGCAAGACAGCTGTGCCTTGGTTTAACAGCCAGAAGTTTTCAGTTGTAATAAATTATTTTGATCTTATATTTTTATTTGTTTAAATTTATTTGAAGTTTTTTGTTGAAATAGTAGCACTTAAATTTTATATAAAACGTTCTTAAATGACTGGTGAGCAGGTCACATGGTAAAGGGCCCCAAGACATAGCCTGACTTTGTGTGTAACACTGTGGTAAATTGATAGCAATTATGACTAGCATATTGATTGCGATAGTTCTAAAGCAATAGAAATACTCTAGATGCAGAGGAAAGCACTAAGTCAGGTCAGAAATTCTGATAAGTTAGTAAAAATGTTGAATTCCGACTACAAAATTGCTGAGGAAACCAGTGGGAAGAGCTGTGGTTGTGTAGAAGTGGCATCAGGAGCAGGAAGTTGCTTATAGCCTGAGAGTAAGGGGGAATTGTTAGACTAATTTTTAGAGCCATACTTAATTTAATATAAATAAAAATAATTAAGCACAAAATAAAAGATTTTTTCCCCCCAGTGGCGGGCACTTGCCTATAATGGCACTGACCGTGCCTAAGGCCAGAAGTGGTGGCTATTTTATTGTAGACGCATCTAATAGGTGGCCATCGTTATCTCCTATGAGGGGACAAACAATTTTACATCCATGCCTTCTCCGGGATTTGAACTTGGGGCCCTTTGGTAACACAGTCAGGCTACCCTAACCACTATACCATCTGGGTGGCCGAAAATAAAAGATAAAAAAGGGGAAATTAATAGATTACAAAAAATTGTATTAATTTGGATTTTAAACATGAGCTACATAATGTGTAATTTGTGCGACATAAAGATTATATTAAAGTAAAAATAATATTCTTTATATAAGATTTTCAAGAACTTGTTAATAGGAAGAGAAAACTTCTTAGTTAATAAATATTTCAGATGAATTTACAGTTAAGCATAACAAACATTAAATCTGCCCTAATATTGTTACATATTTACAATTCTTTTATTTTGAACATTAGGCTTTAATGAATGTTAAAGAAATCTTTCCTTAATGTTCCATTATTTGAATATGCCTTTTTCTTTTTCATACTATTCTTTTATTGCTGTTCTGAAATTTTGTCTTGAATTGTTTTTACGTTACACTGAATAAGACTTAACATTAAGGCAGTATTAGTCAAACTTTATTTCTTTTATTAATCACTTACAATTTAATTTTATCATTCTGATTAAATTTAAAATGAGTTAAGTAGGTTTATATGATTTGATAGTAGGATACTTTTTTTTTAATGTCACTTTAGTGTTTCATTAAAAAGAGAATGTTTTTGTGAATAAAAGTAATAAAAACTGTTCTGCTCTTTCAAAGCTTTATTGGTTGAGTTGAAGCATTCTTTAATATCTGAAATATGTGTTACTAGTGTTAAAATATTTTATAAGACTCATTTCCCCCTTCTTTCTCTCTAGAGTTTACCTCTGAATTCTGCACATGGATGGAGTCTTGCTTCTTCAAAGTGTAGTCTTCGGTGCTGGAAAAAAGAGCTTTCTTTCAACCTTGTAGGTTCTCCTGTTACTCTGTATGCTTGCAGTAAGGAAATAAACTGTGCTGCTGTGGTCAGTATTCTGCTTGTTAGAGTATTTAATTTTTAAATAAATTTTAAATCTGAAATTTTGAACGGTAATAAAAAATATAAGTTTTATTTTTTAAATAATGTGTGTTTAATGAGACAAGAAAATTATCTACATGTTTCTTTCCATAGTACACAAATCAGTTGTGGTTTGACATTTATTAGTAACAATTTTTTGTCAGAATGCTTATTATTTGTATGGAAGAAGCTAATGTTATAATAATAACTCTTACTGAAACACTGATTTGCAGCTGTTATAAAATTGTCTTAAGCATGCATATTTCTGCGTTAATATTGAATATTGACTGCTTACTTGCAGCAAAAAAGATAGATATACAAAATTTATTATTGCTACAAGTGATATTATTACTGTATAGATGCCATTATCACTTGGAATACGCAAAGCAAGCATTCTTAAATGCATGGTTGAATCAATGCGGTTTTCAAGTAAGTAATTACAAGGACCACCAAAAAGTTTGAATTTTTGCAACAGTTTTATAATGCTATTATGCAATAGTTACAATATATGCTATTGGCCATTAAAATTCCTGCACCATGGGAAAAAAAGGGAATTAGCAAACTCTTATGTATTTTACAAGTTATTACAAAATCAAAATGGAAATATGAAATGCTTAAAATTTGAGGTAATTTTGAGGTACAGAACATGCAGAAATATTACCTCGAATATCCATCTCTAGCAACATTAGCTGCTAGAGATGGATATTTGAGGTATGATTAGCTAATCATATAACTAGGTAAATCCTTCTATTTGTTTAATGTGCAGTTGGTATATAACTTTACTTCCATTTACATAACATATGTATAAATGGACAAAGCCGCCAACTGGTATAGTTGTTAGCGTTGCTGACTGCTGAGCCAAAGGGCCCGAGTTCAAATCCCTGAGAAGGCATGAATATTTGTAAATGTATAGTTTCGATGCGGCATGTCGCACTCTAAATATGCGATGAGCCTAAAGTCCTCTTGTGTGATTTGGTGGAAGGAGAGAGGGGTTGGTGATTCTCAAACCCATCTCACCCCGGGGTGCTCTCTATCAAAATTGTGTTCAGAACTGAGCTTAATCGCTCTGTCAACTGTAAAGTGCTCAAGGCTGTTGCCAATGACAAACATATCTTGTGCTCCTTGCCATGAGGAATTTCATGGGCTTGGGCTGATGTTACTCTCAGACAAGTGAGTATAAGTAACAACAACACACACCTTTTAATCTTCTTTGTCAAAACCCAGACACTCATCTCCAGAGCTAAATGAAGAGTCACTTGAAACCTCTTCTAAATCAAGCATGTGAGTTTTCATGCAAGAAAGAAGATTGCATCCAGTTTTTCCACTTCTCTTTCATAAATCTCTTAAATGAATTTACTAATAATTGAGTTTTCAATTCTTTGAGTTTATTTTTAACTTTTTCTGTTCTGTGAGAACAAAATTGATCCCTTACTAGTAGGGCAGGTTTCTTCAACTGTCTGCTAGGGCACTTCGACCAAATTTTATCTATCCATAAGACACAGTATTGACGTATAAGATGCACTCCGTTCTTCAGATCTATTTTCAAAGGAAAAAAAGTGCATCTTGTATGGTGGTAAGTACAGTCAAAAGTAGTTAATCTGGACTCGCCGGGACTTCGGCGATTCCAGATTATCAATTTTTCCGGATTACAGATCATCAGTTTAAATCTGGTAAGATGGCATGCAGAAATTATAAAATTAAAAATATGAAACCGTAATTTATGAAATAAAGAACAATTATGATCTAAAGGGTATCAAAAATTTACAAAAAAAAAAAAAAAAAAAAAAGCTTAATATTTATTTGTTTACTTTATTAAACATTTCTTTCAATGTAAGTTCTTTAAGTTGCTTCGTTTTATGTGATAATACTTTCTCTTTAATTCTTTAATTCTATAAACAGACATAATTTCTTGTTCATTTACAAAGTTCCGCTGTTCAAGTCCTATAATTGCTGTGTCGAGAATACCGACTAATTTGTCAATCGAAATTTTTTCGTTTTCAATAACCTCTGTGTCACTTTCTTCACTATCGAAAGCAAATTATAATGGTGAGGAATTTGATTTAAATCATATCAAAGACAAAGTACATCAAGATGAAATGCTACATTTAGTAAGGAATTATAAGCCGAATAAAATAAAAACATCTGCCCTGAAGATAAGGATAGTGCTGACAGATCAACTTCCAATTCATTGCACGCTGCGGCGTTTACCCCACGTCGCCGTAGAGCAGCGTGAAATTGATAAACAGATTTTGGAATAGTTAGAGAAAAAAAGGATATGCTTTTATCCATTTTTTGCAGCATTTCCCCTTTTTGTTTGATGGACATCGAAACATACTTTCGCTTTGTAGATCCTTTACATATCAGTAAATATATATCAGAAATTCTATTTGACATAATCGAAAGTTCAAGCTTACTTTTATAAAATTGCTCTAACAGTCTGCAAAAAATAATAAGCCGGATCCAATTCGAAGATTAAGAAACAACACAATCTGCAACATTAACTGAATTAGATAACTTTAGCTTAACTTATACCGTCCATTATACATTAAACGTGCATGCATTAACGTAATATGTGCATGCGCACACGCATATGCGCAGCCGTAAAGGTCTTAACACGCATGCGTAAACGCCTTATTTTCGTTTTCTAATGTATGTCAGAGTTCTGAGTAAAAAAATATAAAACAGTGCCCATTTGATTGGTTTTGCAGATCTCTGTGAGAAATTTCGGTATCCACTGAGCACAGAACTTCTGGTAACCTAATTTTCCGATGACTGCATAGTGCAAAATAGTCTGACAAATGTTTGGAAATAGTTGTGAAAGTTCCAAGATTGTGAATGTTCAGAGATTGTGAATCGATGGATCTGATGAATTTTGCTGTCGATTTGTTTGATCTGACTCTTGCTCACTACAGACATCATTTCACTCCTTGATTCATCATGTATATTTGTTCTTTCTTCTTTGAAAAATCTCACCCACTGATGCACTACATCTTCACTCACATTGCTTGGGTCCGTATACACAATTCACATTGAATGTCTCCTGGCAACTGTCCCCCCCTCAAAGAAATCATATTACTCTTCTTTCTTGCATTTGGCAGGATTTTCAGTAGCAGTGCCCATTTTTGATGTTATAACCAACACACGTGCAGCAGTACAATACTCACACTAGTATAGCTGGAAGCTTACTGAATTATACTGACCACTACTACTAGCACCGTGTCACAACGGAGGTTAGTTTCTGAATTGCCCTCATATAAATCCTAAGAGATTATATTTTAATTATAATGAGTGAGTTTTAAATAACTAACTATTATGCCTCTCACCTAAAATTTTAGAAATTGCCTTTAATTTTATGCTAAAAAATAGTTGATTATGGAGTGCTGAATTTTTTTTAAAATTTATTTTTTCAGAAAATACAATTTTCTTTTGAACGTTCACCTCTTTATATTGATGCCAAGGAGAATGTAGTGAGTTTTGAGCTATTACCTGAAAACATGAAAATTGAGAATCTATGCTTGGAAAGTAAATCAGGGTTTGTCATAAGACAGCAGCTCCACATGCACTAGACAATATGGCTTACTACTGCTTTATTGGGGTGATAGAGTTCTATGAAACTTAACACATTACCACATTTTGCATAAGTTTCACGACTCAAATAACTGGGAACATCTTTAATTCCTTCTCTTCTTCTGAAGATATTTCGGCCCTCTTCTGTTATCAGGACCATAATCAGAAATAAATGTATGTATGTGCCTTTATATGTGAATGTATACACATATACAAATGTGTATAAAATATACACATATATTTATAAATACATGCATATATACATACATTTCTGAATCCAGCCCTGATAACAAAAGAGTACCGACATTTCCTCTATAAATACCTTTCAGTACGGTTTATGAAGTTTTTAGTTCTTCCATGCAAAGTAACGTAACCTTGCTATATTTTCCTTGGGGCCAAATTCATGGGACAGCAAGTCACTTGTTGCCAAGCATTGCCTGTGAGGCTTCAGCAATTGAGCTTTTAAAATGTTTACTGAAATCTCCAAGTATCAATTGTGTATCACAGGTTACCTCAAAACACTTTTGGAAAAGTGCTTTGGTGCAGATCATCCTGAAATTTGAAATAACCTGCTGCTCCACATTAAAGGGTTTGTGTTGCAAGGCAGGAACTTCATTCTAGTGAATTCTTTCAATTTGTCTGAAAGCCTGAATGATGTTAACATGCATTTCTTAAATTCCCTGTTAAAACTAATTGTACTAATAGTCTAGATAATCTTGCAAGTGCTGTAAATTAATCATATTACTTTTTCAATTGCTTTGTTGAAAAAAATTGATTTTTATTTCTACTTCCCCTTATTTGAAACAGCACATTTTGTTGGAAAGAAATTGTATTTCTTCATTTCTCAGTCACGTTTTATAGACAAAGCTAAAATATTAGAATTGTTTATTTGCCTAATTGTAAAGTACACTATAATGTTAAGTATATTTTACACCACTTTACTTTTTAGCATATGATACAATATTATGAATGGTGCACTTTGTTTAATGCTAGTTGTCACAAGATGGCACTTCAGTAGCAGATTGTTTTCTTGCTATTCTGGGGTAAAGACTTAATAGATTTAATTGATAAGAAATTGCCTAGTTGCCGGAGTCTTACAGTTATAATCTTCCACATTATGTGCAGGTTACTTTTTACCTCATTGTTTTTTAAACGTGCTATAATTTTCTGAGTGGTACATAAGTAATGCCTTTCAGTCTGCTTGCATGGCAAAACAGTTAATTTATTCTTCACTGACTTTTATACAGGTAATGCTACCTTCTCTTGAGTGGTGTACACAGCATCTGCATGCCTAACTGTGTGTCATACATGTCACTTCTTGAAATTCTCAAACCATCTTTTGCTGTCTTTGTAAATATCAATATCCAATATTCATACACAAGTACTTTTTTATCAGGTCATCATACACTCACCTTGCTTCCTCATTATTGATACCATCACAAACAATGTTATCAGCTAACAGCTCTTCATTAATTCAAATGAGCTACAATTTCTCCATCACCCTGAATTATCTCTGATCTTTGTATAGTATCTTTCATTTGTCTATCACTCATCTTGTGACATCAGCATCTTTGATTATCACCCTGAATTATCTCTAATCTTTGTATAGTATCTTTCATTTGTCTATCACTCATCTTGTGACATCAGCATCTTTGAATATAACCCTGAATTATCTCTAATCTTTATATAGTATCTTTCATTTGTCTATCACTCATCTTGTGACATCAGCATCTTTGATTGTTTCTTTAATTTTTAGAACAGGGCCAGTTGCAGTTTGCCATACCAAACTGAGCAGGAAGATTTGTAGACATAAACATCATTTTCTTTTTCTCTGTAATTTTTTTCTTCACTTCTGTTATGATTTTAGTCACTTTTCTTTTCATTTTGCTGCTCTCATTATCTTTCTTTGGCAGTATGGTATCTTATTTAATAATTTATATTACAAAATACAGACAATAATAAAATTTAAATGAAAGAAAGAACATAAGCAGCATTAAACAAAAGCCCCCAGCACCTTCCAGTGTCCTGCCTTGTTGCCCTACCATGTTTATACATAGATGTTTTTGTTATGATGTCACTTTACACGAAGCTCACATATCATGTGAACTTCTGGATTTTGGAACATCATTTGTTGCTGGCTTACTTGTGCGTATATTGAGACATCATTTTTATCAAAGACATATCATTTGGAAAATTTATTTGTGAACTGATTTGTTTAGTGACTCAAGATTCCACTGGTATATACGTAGACATTTCATACCATCAATTCAGTGCTAGGGCAGTATGATTATAAAGAATGCAAGCATGCAGCATTCATTCATCTTAATACCTCTACACGTAAATATGATTATTATGATCCTGTATGCCAAAGCATTCCTGCTTTGGCATGCAGGATCATTGAAAATTTTGGCATACAGGATCATTGAAAAGGATGTCATGCCGTTAATGCATCCATGTTGCCCAGTAGGCTAAGATTTATCTATAAATAAATTTTGATACATGCTGGTGTAAGTACCTTCTGCTTACGTGAGGTATAATACAACTTCCTACTTAAAAAAACAAGACATAAACGTGATATCAAAGGAAAAATCACCCATTCAATCTGTCCTTTTATACTGCTTCAAGATGTGATTAATCTTGTCAGTATTATAAGCATGCTGTGAAATGTTAATCTCTTGCTTATCCCAGCATGTTTTATTTTCCATGTAAATTTCAGATATTTTGGGGTCTTTCGTGTACGGTGTAGTAGTTTTGATAAGCTGCAGCGTATATTTAATACAATGTAAAATTTTAATATGTTAACTTAAGTCTGTCATAATGAAATGCATAAAAATTTGCTTGCATTTTGTAAATAAAATATTTTGAGCAAGAGCATTAGTTCAGTCATGGAAGCTTTGTTATCTTCATAACCGTAGTTCTATTTCTTTCCTTTGTTTTTATCTGATGGTATTTAAGATATACAGATAACTATAATATTGATATTTTTAAGTAAGTATGAAACTTTCCCTCAATGTCTATTCTATCAATATTATTACCACTGTGAAGTATGAAAACATTTATTGCCCTGATAAAGAGTAGTATAGTTCTGCAGTTTGAAACATACATTAAAGAATGCTCCTTGTTAGGAATAAATTCTGTGATTTCTAGATGACACTGCTTTATTTTTTCTTTTCTTCAGCTGCACTAATTAATACTCTGAGAGAGTACCTATTAAACTTTTTAAGAATGTACCAGCATTCGGATACAAGCATTCGGAAATATTTTATATTTCAAAGATGCAAAATTTTTTCCATTTAATTTTTTCCAAATTTTTATTGATCTTCATATTTATTTTCAGATATTACTCAATGTTATTGCTGATATTTCTACATGGCCAGAATGGGATATTCAAGCACAGGATCAAACAGTACACTTGGAATTACCTGAAAATCCATCTTTGCATGCAGATGCATATATGCAATGTGATCAGCTTGTGTTAACCACATCAATGTTAAAAGCCAAACCTGAAATTGAAATGTTTAGGTGGGAATTTTAATTAAGTTTTACGTTTTTATTTTGCTAGGATATATTTTGATGTTAACTAACTGAAGATGTGCTAAAATTTTCCCATTCTATGTTTCTAGCAGTTACATCCCAGTTTTTTTTTTTTTTTTTTTTAATTTATTTATAATTCTTTTATTTCAATCTCTTCAGCTTCCTGTACTTGTCTAGAAACTTGGAATTTCTCATCATGGAATTTTAGTTGCATATTTCTTGTGTTGTTATTTTTAATGCTTTATATGATGAAAATAAAAATAGCAATTATCTATTCTGTTTGAAATAAGGTAAAATATATAACAATTGTGTACTTTATTTTCAGGTTTGGCAACTTAGAGAGCAATGGCACTGGGTGGATTTTATTATGGAATGCTAAGCAGCTGGATTGGATTTTGTATATTGCACAACCTATTGATAATTGCTCAGGTATAAAATTTCTCCCTCCTCCTCACATTATTTTCAATGTTTTTGTTTTTCCTTATAATGTAAAAATCAGTTAGTGTAATTAAATAAGTATTCAATTTTATCCTTATACTCTTTACAAGGAAGGATTAAGCTTTGATCAATCAGTATTAAATAAACTGATTAAAATGATCAATTTGTATCAAGTTTTTAAACACAGTAAAAACTCCAAATCCAGAAATTTTCATAAAATAAATTTCTGCTTATATGAGCAGGTGCCATCATAGATAAAAAGATTTTCCTAGTGTATGGGAGAGATGACTGCATGCTTTATCTCATTATCTGTCTATCAATTCTAAGAAATTACTACCCATCATATAGAGCTTCTCTAAGTAAAGTAGAGAATTCTATGAAAAAAATTTCAGTATTAGAGGTAGAAATGGCTATGAAAAGAAGAAATTAAATGATTGATATTATTTCTGTAGTTTAAAAAGCAGGTTTAGAAAAGTGTTGAGTTTGCTTTAGTGAATTAAATGCAGAACATTTCAGATTTTTGTGTGCAAAGTATGAGATTCTATAGTTAATATTTTCTTGCTGGTCATCTACAAAATTAATAACATGTTTATTTTATTGTGAAGAATCACTGATCGCCAAATAAGTCAACTTTGTTTTTATTCTATAAAATTTAGGAAAAATTTGGAATGTTTAGGGGAAAATTTAATCAGTTATTTTAGTGGAAATTATGTTTTGAAAAGTAACCTAAATTAATAATTTTATTTTCTATAGCTTCATAAATTTTGAATGTATAGAATATTTTACAGTACTTTTCCGTTTTGCTGCCGCATGTGTAAAGTCACCAATAATGATACAGCTGGTGCCAAACAAAATATCCTCAATGGTAACCTTTTACGCCTCATTTTCAAAACAAGTCGCCGCCATTTCTTATCAGATTGATTGTCTCTTTCAATACTATTATTATGTATATTCAATACTATTATTATGTCAATACTATAATTATGTAAAACCCTGCGGTTTTACATAATTTCTGAGTAAGCTATTCATAGGAATTGAAATAATTCTTGCATTTAAACTTGTACTCCAAACTAAGATTTAACTTGAAATTAATGTAAATAATTACTGAGAGAATAAGATTTTTGTAGCTTGGTTTACGTGGGATGAGATCACTTGGGTCACGTGATATGAACTGACGACTCAGGATCTGCACCTAGGCAGTCTCGGCCACTGTTGTTTAAAATCAGTCTCTGCAGACTGGAGTCATCATTGGTGGTGGCTGTTTCAGGTTCGGTAGGGACCATATGGTACTGTCTTGTCCATTCCGTTGGTTGTAGTGGAGCTATATAGTCAGATATTAATAGTTGTCTGAGGTGAAACACCTGCCATTAATGGAGTTGGCGAATTCGGCGAGCCTTTAAACTGCTTGAGGTTTCCAGTGTGACTGGGCCTCAAAATTGCATATTCATATCCTTCCTTGGTTTCCCCCTGGGGGCACCTAAAACTAACATCTGTATACCATGACTTAGTGTTAGCAGGCCGGATTGGTGGCACGGTCTGTCAGGCAGTTGTTTGAATGACTTTGTTCGGCTGTCCGGGGTTGGGGCCTCTGTTGATTGCAGATGTTTTTACTATCCCTCCAGAACAGGGACGTGGAATGTGAGTTGCTGAGTAGTCCTGCCGACTCAGCTTAGTCTGAGCTCATCTACTGGGCAGATAGGTTAGCGGCGTCTTGGATCTCCTTTAGGGGTTGGGGCGTTTAACTGTGTTAGTGCCAGCTCTGAGTGCCCCTTCCTCCTAGCACACTATCTTATTTGACCGAAAATTATAACCAGGGTAAGAGTTCGTCTGTGGTGTTCTCTTCTGTCTTATTTGAACGTGCAAATACTCGATGCTGATGTGTATGACATTCGACAAATTGCTTAATCCTTATTTTGTGTCTACTGTTGCAAATGTAGTAATTTGTGCAATATTTATCTTTTTTTTTTTTTTTTTTTTTTTTTTTTGTGTGTGTGTGTGTATGATTGTTTGTTGTTATTGTTTTTCTATATAAAAGAAAAAGGTAAGTGCAGTTGCATATCATGTTAGACTTTGGTTAACTTTTTGATTCATTTGAGCATAATTACTCAAAAACTGTTTAGCTGTCATGTTTGAACCATTGTCGTATTCTTGGCCACGTAAATTACTAACATCTAAACCATTTTCCTCTGAAGTCTTTAATAAGAACGTTGTTCGTTTTCCATCGGTCCTATCTGTTGTAACACAAAATACTAAAAACCTTTCTTCTATACTCATGTCTGGATTTTCTAAATTAAAATACCTCATACAAATTAATACTATCTGCCCTTGATTGCTGGCATGATAGGTACAATCAAGTAAAATAGAAAAATGCTTTGCCTGTTTGACCTTATTTAAAATAATTTGCTCTGTATTATTCCCTAATAAGCTAATTATTTTATTTTGAATTTTATCTCCAAGGTAATGAAACATTAGTTTTTAGTTTGAATTTTATTAATATATACAGACATGATAGGGTCAAATATTATGATCATTTCCATACACCTTAAAAAAATTATTATTTCTTTCGAATAATTTGTTATTGGAACTACGGAAGGCTAAGTTTTGTTTGGCTAAAAACTAAATGGCATGAATAATTCTTTCAATAACATCATGCCAATGCTTAGTCTCTTTGTTTTCAGTAAAATTTGAAATTCTGTATTAACAGGTTTATTCTTTCATAATCATTCTAGGAAATCGGATTAACTCTTTCGTTGTCTGGCAAGATATGACATGAGTACATCTAAAAAAAATTACTTCCAATTTTGTCTTTTGGGGAAACAAACTCGAAAACAAGTTTTGGTAATATCCAGGAACATTTTTTATTAACACTTGAACTTCAGATGGCAATAATGGACTTGGGCATAATCCGGAATCATCAGGCACAGGCAAAATCGTATCTGTTGCAGAAATTGTAGATTTCAATAGTATTTCTTCTGTTTTTCTGACCAGCTGCATTGAAGTTAAAGGTAATTCTCGGGTGAAACCGCTTTCTAAACTCTTTCTCATTATTAAGTTCTTTTGGTAATTTCAGTGGTAGCTGAGACGTTGATGGATATCTATTGCTAGTAGTGTCAGCTTGGGTATTTGGGTTTTGGGAAAACTGAATAATTTTAAAATTCTGGTTTATTAAGTGTCCCTCTCAGCTTTTATTTCCTTATTACATTCTGATACTTGGACAGTTTTTTTCTGTTTATCTTCTGACATCTAGGGAAAAACGAAAGCAGAAAAAGTGGAAGTAAAAATAAAAGCAGAAAATAACTATTATAAGAACTAGTACGTAAAACACTTCTTAAAAATATTCGGAAAGTCACTGTTTGAAATAATTTACCTTCTGAAAAAGAGAGTATATTCAGAAGTCAAATAACAAAAATCAGCGTTATATTTACAAAATTTTCACAGGACTAGTTTCGATGGTTTTACCGAACCACCATCCTCAGCTGCAAAACCGCAAATGAACAAGATAGGAAATAATGTTTAGATAAGATAAGAAAATCTGGACAAGAATAAGCAAGTGGCGCCATCTGTTTGTGAAACCAGAACTAAAACACAATTTCTTTAAAGGCCGTAGGCAAATTTGGATTGGAATTAGGATCGTTAACTAGAACTCTGTGTTATTCTAGAACTCTGTTCTAGTTAACGATTGGAATTAGGATCGTTAACTAGAACTTTGCCTACGGCCTTTAAAGAAATTGTGTTTTAGTTCTGGTTTCACCAACAGATGGCACCACTTGCTTATTCTTGTCCAGACTTTCTTATCTTATCTAAACATTATTTCCTATCTTGTTCATTTGCGGTTTTGCAGCTGAGGATGGTGGTTCGGTAAAATCATCGAAACTAGTCCTGTGAAAATTTTGTGAATATAACGCTGATTTTTGTTGTTTGACTTCTGAATTAGTATTTATTCGGCGTGTTATTGTGTCTTAATTAAGAGAGTATATCTTAAACCATTGCTTGGAAAATATATGAATTATTAGATCAATACCAAATAATTTAAGGGGGTGGTACTCTTTTGTTAATTAAAGTAAATAAAATAATAAATAAATAATAAATCAAGTAAATAAATCAAATTTAAAGATGTATGAAAAAACGAAACATTTTCCTTCGGTTTTCCGAAAAGCTAAAAATCGGAAAATGGCCAATTTTTGATTTCAGAATACCTTGTATATTTTTACTTGACTCCAGATCTCAAATAGGTATATTTTAAATTCTGCGTTACTCCATAAATATGTCAAACCTTTCTTCTCGAAAGATTATAATTTTTAGTTTAATAAAAAAGTGGTTCATGTAAAAAAAAAAAAAAATTCGTAAAAACTAATATGTAAGTACCTTTTTTTATGTAGAATAACAATAACAATAAACAATCACGTACCCCTCCCCAAAAAGTCACAAAAAAGATAAATGTTGCCCAAATTTCTATGATTGCAACAGTAGAACAAAATAAGGACTAAGCAATTTCTCAAACGCATGTACTGCGCCCTCTATACCCTTACATACGCATTGGTATCACGTATTTTGGTTCACATATATTTATAAGATCAGCTCAACTTATGTCAAAAACTGCAAAAAGCATTAACTGATAAAAATCAGGAGAAAATGCTGAAGTGATATAAATAGTATAGATCTTAATGTATGAACTGCAGTTTTTGCAAACTTTTGGCATCGCCACTTGAAACCCTAAGTTATATCGTTGTCAACAACATAGTGGTGTGCAGAAAAGAATTTTGGATATATCCCTATATCAGCCCTAGAGCATTTTTTGTGCCCTGTTGTAATCACAGTTTGAACCTTGTAAACTACATTGCGAACAACAATTTATTCAGTGAAAACTTATTAGATATGTATATTAATTTGTTTTTGATTAAGATAATAGATAGTGTTCAGCAATGTATTTGGTATGCAATGCATTTAGTATATTATTTCGCTTCGCTTGAAATGTTACTTTTTTATAACATGTTGCTGTTGACAAATGCTCACTTGTCTGGCCTATAGACAGCCCAAAACCCACGAAGTTCCTCGTAGCAAGGAGCACAAGATATGTCTCTCGTTGGCAACAGCTTTGAGCACCTTACAGGTGACAGTGCGATTTAGCTCAGTTTCACTCCCAATTTTGATAGAGTACCCTGGGGAGACGGATCCGAGCGTCTCCGACCCCTCTTCTCTTACCACCAACCTTTCAAGAGGATTTTCGCCTCACCTATTTAGAGTGCCCCTATGCCGCACGGACACTGTACATTTACAAACATCTATATCTTCTCCGGGATTTGAACCTGAGGCCTTTGCATGGCTGTCAGCAACGCTAACCACTGTACCGGTTGGGCAGCTTTTTACAACATAAATGAATGTATAATTCTTCAATGAATATATTTGAGTGTGGTTTTTAACAAAGCACAAAATGTTTGCATATTTAGATAAAAGATAATATATACATTTTTGGTTCTTCATATTATTATGTTAATAATGCTTCATTTTAAATGTTAATCATAAGCACCATCCCTTTACTATCGTCACTACATAAAGACATTTGCACGACGGCACTGATTAGGCTTGGCATGGGCCTGATTGTTGTAATCAACACTTCAGATGAATATAGAGTTCAGTCCACGTGGCTCGTAACAGAGCATGATTGTAAACAATCAGCCACCCTAGAACAAAAATTTTGGGGCATTTGGCTGATTGTTCGTCCAACCTTTCAAAATAAATATTATCAACAAGAATACTGCCTTTATTGAAAAATAGTTCGTGGACTTCAATCTTACAACCATGCTTCAACCTACTGTGGCAAAAGCATAATCTTCAAAAAAGTCAAAGGTCAAATTTCATGAAGGTCGTGCTTCTACCCACTGTTATTGGTGAATTCAGAAATTCTTTAAGGAAATTAATAGTGCCGTCATGAAGGGCAAGGATTTTCAGGGGGGGGGGAGATTCTGCTGGTATCAAAAAAATATATAAATGTGGAGAGGGGCACATGTTTCTGTGAAGAGTTGAGTTGCCCTTTTTTTAAAACCGCTAAGAAGAGTGTGGAAGATTTAGAACATGCCTTTTAAAAAGAAATGACCAGTCAAATAAAAGAATTTTTTTATTTAATGTTGACAGTGTTAAAGCAATTTTTATATCAGACTGTAGATTCTAGCTAGATTTATAGCCCCTTGATTGATTGATACCTGCACACTTTAACAAATTTTTCATAATTTTTATGTAGACTACTTTAGTTTTTAAATCTCTTGTGCAAAATAATTACTTTCTATAATTTTTTTTTTTTTTTTTTTTTCAAAATGACTAAAATGTATGGCTGTTTAGAGATTTGTAATTAAGTGTAGAAAGGTTGTCAATTAAGTTCATTCCCTTTATTTCCCCAAACAATGTGTTCTGTGTCTGTAATATGAATTCTTTAAATTTGGTTTATATTGCCAAATTTGGCAATTTTTCAGTGATTTTAAAATCAGTTTGAATAAATTTTGTTTCAGTGATTTGTGAATTTCATGAATATTTTTAACAAATGTGATATTGTTAAAATAACAATAGTATACTTAAATATTTTTTAACCATTTGCCATGTTTTAAAACTTTCATTCTGTCAATTTTTTTAATATCATGATACTAAAATTTAGAAAAGGTAATAAATTTTATAAAACAGAATTTCTGAATAACGTTTTAGCAAAAGCAAAAACACTGCTGTAAATATGTGAAATTTAATTTCATTTATCTAATTTTTTATAACTTTTTCCCTCTGTAATTCTTTTAAAATATTCAGATTCATGTTAGTAAAATTAAAAAAAAAATTTTTTTTTTTAAATCTGGCTTTTACTCTCACAAAATAAAAAGTGTCTTAATGTGTTATTGATGTTATTTTAGAATATGCTGTTTTACAATAAGATTATGATGGATTTCTCATATTTATTAGAGAAATTTCGGAAATTTTAGTCATCTGAATATTTATTATAGTATTTTACTATTTTACAACCTCTGTTAGTTAAATGGCACCAAGAGCTCTCATCTCAGGTGGAATGTAAGTGATTGTGGTTAAGACTGCTGATCATTTGGCCATGGTGTGCGAAGAGCTTCAAGTAGATTTACTGCTTTAGCACAGTTTATTTACAAAAAAACATTGTAATGCCATTTAAGTAACAGGGGAATATAATAATTAGGAAAAACCTTTTCTACTTTTAAACTAGTTATCTTTCTCTTAATAGATGCTATTTCCCTTATTTTCTCTCTCTTTCTCGTCCCTCCTTCCATTCAAAAGTATCAAGGATTTACAAAAAAATTCTGTTCTTATCATACAAACAGGCATCTGCAGTAAGGAATTTCTCTTTTAATAAAAATACTGAAAATTGACAATTTAAAAGCTTTATCTTAATATCTGAACACGTATTATATCAGTGAAATTGCTAAGCAAATAAGATTAGCAACTTTTTGTGTGTTCTGAATACATGCACTTTTTTTAGAAAAGCAAACAATGTAATGAAATTTAAAAATTTAAAGATGAAGAAAAGAAAAAAAATTGAAAGTTGATTAGATAAAGCAAATAGATTTTTTTCCCCCTTTAAATGGAAGATATTAACAAATTACCAGACAACTTTAAAAATTGGTTCAGAAACTAATAACAACATTGATTTGTTTATTGAAGTAAATGAACTTAGAAAAGTAAATAACAGGAAGGAAATAAATAACTGAAAATATCCAGAAAAATTTTGGGTTAAATGGCATTAGTATTTGGTACTGCTATAGATGTTTTGTATCTTTTAATGTGCATTTTTTCTAATTTAATTTTAAGACTTGTGTAACAAATTACATATGTAATTATCTGTTATTTAAATGACAGCAGTTCATTTTATGAAGATTTCAGTAGTGATGTTTTTAGTGAATATTTTTCAAAAGTAAAAATTTTTTAAGAGTTATATATAAATAGTCTGCAAGATATGTGGGACAGTTCTGGTGGAGAAAATTAAAGAAAAAATTGTAAAAAC